ACTCCACTGTTTGGTTTAAGCCAGCTCTAGTGGATTTATGTTACTTATGACCAAAGAGGCCTGACACGTGTACAGACCACAGCGAAACAAAAGCACGCAAAAATAAACATGTATTCACCCCCATACACACACATCCGGTGTTTGAACCAGGCTCTTTGTAACTCCATGTGGTCCCAATGGAAGATTCTTTGGAATCTGTGTTTTCCGGAATCCAGTTGGAGAAACCTCAGCTTTCAATTCAATTGGGAACAGCAGTGGTTCCCTAATGTGGCTCCATGGCTTCATCAGAATCACCTGGAGGAACTGACTTACATACATAGATTGCCAAGCACCCGCCCCAGAGAGGCTAAAGCTATCCAGTTTGAAGAGAATTTTGAGATCTGTGCTTTAGAAACTTCCTCCTTGAGATTTTCACGTATAGTTGAGTTTATTGCAATAAGATGGGCTGAACTAATGGAATTTTTTATTAGCCTTTTTTTTTTTTTTTTTTTTTTAGATGGAGGTAATGTTCTTACCAAGTCTGAGAGATGGGTAAAAGCCTACTCTGTGGACACACAAAATAGAACCCAGTGAAACTCGGGCTTATTGGGGCACATGTAAACAAACTATCAGGCTAAAGCGACCTTTGCAGGTTGGCTGCTTGAGCTGAACAAATGAACCAGATCATATGCCCTGCCTTCTTAGCGCACGCTCCCCCTTCACCCCCCGCAAAAAAAAAAAAGTGTGTGAAGTAGCAAATGTACCTTTTATTTTAGAAACAAAAATACCATATCTGATCCAACAATAGCCGGATCCCTGTGAATGAAGGGTTTGCATATTTTCCTGTTTTAACGGTTCTAGTATAAACAGCCCAAGCCCAGGCCTGATTGTCAGTAGGTCCTGAGCAGCCCAACCAGAGTGTTGGAAACGACTCCTTCAGGTCTGAGAACCTGGATCCGGCTTAGTGCCAGGGTTCAGGCTTGTGTTCAACTGGAGCAATGGGGTCAGGAGTTGAGGGAGAGGGCAACTGCAGTGTTCCCCTCAACGCTAATGCCAGAAGCAACAGCAGTAGCAGCTGCAGAGGCAGTAGGAGCAGTAGCTACCATGTATTGAGGATTTCTTTGTATAGGCACCAGGCTGAGTGATGTAATTATTTATTTGAGTACTTTAAAAAGCTCGATGTAGTAGCATTGTTATTCCAATTTTTAGAATAAGGTTCAGAGTGGTTTAGCAACTTTTCTGAGGTCACACAGCTTCTAAGGGGGAAGACCCAGGGTTCAAACAAAGGCATGTTTGACTCCTAACTATTATAAGATACAGCACACACAAACCCAAGTCACAGACGCCATTTTGTGTACCAGCTGGGGATACAGGGCTTTGTGTCAAGAAGCAGGCAAGCACTTTGCTTTCTTTCAAGACATTTTTTCTCAGTGCCAGACCCCACTGGTCTCCAGCAAAGGGAGATAGCTGTCAGCAGGGGCTGGAAGGCCTTCTCCAAGCTCAAAGCAATCCCAAATGTCTGGGTGGATCCTTTGTGCCTTGAGAGTGGAACCATAACTCTCCTTTGGGGGCCAGCAAAAGACTCAAGATTTATTGATAAACTACTGATTATATATTTGGTAACTCAGAGACTTTCCTGGACCTGAAACAAAGAGAATCGTGCTGGTATATAAAAAAAGTTATGATTCACCCATATGATGGATTATTAAGCATTCACTGAAAATCACGTTTCAAAGAATAAAATATGGAGAAACCATCATGGTGTAAGGTTAAAAGAAACAGGATACAAAATTGCAAATTCTATATAAAATATATTATTTTAAGTATGGAAATTAGCCTTACTTTCGTTAAAATACACAGGTAAAAATCCAGAGAGGAAAGCCACCAAAATGTTAACCATGGTTACTTCTTGGGGATGGGGTGGGATTACCTGTAATTTTTGTTTTCTTTGTACATCTTAATGTTTTCCCCCAACTTCTTCCATTTGAATTATCTTTGTAAATAGGGAAAAGGTGAACATGTAAAAAGTCTTCATATATTTCAATGGAGGTGCACAGGGGTGACTACTGGTTAATTTTTACCCCACCTTGGATTTTAGCAGGCGGAAGGGTCTTTCAGCCTCACTGTTAAGAGCAAGAATGGAGGCATCTTGAACCAGTCCTGACCCACTAGGCAGAACCTGAGCGAGGCCCTATGCGGTGCGGGGTCGGAAACCGGCCCCTTCCGGTCTTTGAGGCGCTTTTAATTCGGTTGGGGTGACAAGTGCATTGCAACCAACAGTGACAGCATGCTCCCAGGCGACTATTACGCAGGGTGGGAAGTCGATTCGAGGGGTGGGCAGGGTTTTCTGGGGGTAAGCCATGGCCAATGGGGTGCCAATCAAGGCTATGGTACAGCGAATATAGGGGCCTGAGCATGGCCTTGGGCTCTCCCCGGGGTCCCCAAAGTCCACCGGATGCGCCTGGAGGACGTCGGTGGGTTGCGGCTTCCCCTGCCGCTCCTCCCCGAGGGCCTGCCAGCGGGGAACCCGGCGGAAGCCACAGAGCAGCCGGGTAGCCAGCGCAGAGCTTAGTCTCCCCGTCTGAGAGCCCTGAATCCGCAGTGTTGGCTGGAGTGCGGGTAGGGGTAAGGGGGGGGGGCGGCGGGGAGAGGGGGCGCGCAGGAGCCAGAGCCTGAGAAATACAGGAGGGTTTCAGCCGTGGTTGAAGGTGCGGCGGCCACTCCCAGGACCCTGAGAGAGTGAGGTCACCCACTCTGCGCTGTGGTGTCGCCTCGCCCTGCGCGAGCCCCTCTCGTGGGCGCAGCTCCTATGGCGATGATGTTGCTTAGTGCCAGCAGAGGGCAGCCTCGAGGCTGCGTAGCCGCAAGGTGACCTCGCTCAGCGGCGGGCTCCCTTCCAGAGCCCCGGTTCTGCCCGGTGGGGGCGGCCTTGGAGCCTGTGACCTCGGTCTGCAGGAGCCGAGCCCTGCGGCCCAAGGGCATCTGGTGAGATGTGGTAAAGCTACAGCCCTAGGGCAACTTCAGTCTGGGGGTAACCAAATAAATGCCTCAGTAGAGGAAGCAAGAAGCAAAACTCAACACACGATGGAATGTATATAATATTTAAGCAACAGATTCCAAGCGTGTAGAAACTTTTAAAATGATGTTGGTGGGGAGCTAGGATCGCCTTCGTGTCTTTGGTGAGGGAATGAAGGGACTAGGAGCCCGAAGGCTCTGAGCAGCAAGCAGATGGAGAGGTGCAAGCAGGGACCTGGCCATCATGTGAGGGGCAGAGGGCCCTGTGGTTAGGGATCCAGAGCCCCCTCGACTGTGCTTTTCTCCGCAGAGGCACTCAGGGGACTGGGGATTCCAACCCCGACCTTGGGCACTTCCTGGCTGTTTAATTTGGGGCAACTCACTGAATGGCTGTCGCCTCCGACTAATCACTTCTGTCAAATGGGCATGGTGGGCTCCAGTCTCTAGCGATGCCACGCAATAGAAGTTCAATGAATTCAAGTTTTGCTACTCCTCCAGCTCTGGCAGGACACCACGCTCCTGGGTTTGTTGCTAGGATGAAAGGATCCTGTCACCAGCCTTTGACAGTCGGCCCGGTGGGGCGTAGCTGACTTGGAGACAAAGGCCCGCCAGGCTTTGGGACCAAGTTGTACGTGGCCGGCCACAGCCCTGGAACCTTCCGGTGCTCTTTTGGGGCATTCGGGTGAGCCCTGAGCTCCTTGTCCTGGGCAACCGGGTCACCGAGCTCCGGAAGAGTGCACTTATCAGCGAACGAATTGAAACCTGGCACTCGCCTTGGCTCTCTGGGGAAGCCTGGCAAAGGGCCAAGGCCCTCTACGCAGACGGACGTGGGGTCGCGTGGGCCGCTTAACAGGCCAACCTTGGAGCACGGCAAGCACATCCATGTTCAACAGCCGGTGGGAACTTCGGCAAGCCTCGGTCTCTCACAAACTGTATGCAAACAGGCACCTGCTAAATTATCTTAGTTTGTTTCCACCTTCTAAAACGCCAAAGGAGAGCACTTCTCAGGGTAAGTGTGAAAACCGTGATGGAAAACTGTGTAAATGTGAGGTGGTGTAATTACTATTCATGAGCCACCAGCTCCATCCGTGCTTGCCCAGCGTGGGAACAGGACAGATGCAAGAGCCATGTACAAATGTGTGCACATGCATATCACGGGCGTATAAATGTGTGTGCCTGTCTTTCTAGATGTATGACAAGTGTACACACATGTGCATGTATGTGCACATGGATACAGGACATCCTCGTGCAGACGTGTGCATGTGCACAAACATGACTATTTGTGCCTGAAGGCAGAGTGTGCACACTGCTCAGCCAACCCCTTTCTCTCGAACTGGGTCAGTGCCTCCCGGGAAGCAGGGTCTTACCTGCGCCTCCAGGGTGCGGGGAAGCCCGGATCCAGCCTGCGCCTGGGCACTGCCGGCTCCTTTATCTTTCATCGCCCCTGTCGGACTTCTCCAGTTTCAGTCGGGGCCAACGTCCCCAAGTCAGTCGTTGGGGGCAAAGGAGAGTGAAGGAAGAGGTGGAGGGCGCTCCAGGCACGAGAGACTACAGCGCCTCACTCCCTAGGTCTGTCGCTTCTTTGCCTCCCCAGGTCGCGTCCCCAAGGAAGAGAAAAGAGGGGCCCTGATCGGCTCTGGGAAGGCGGCCCTTGTCCCCTACCCTCAGAAGCCATCATGAAGCAGGAGAGCAGAGGGTTCCCCCTCGGCTTGGGAAAAGTCGCGGCTGCTGCAGGGGCCAGGGCACCACACGGAAGTCCCTGCATCTCTGCACCCGCAGGTGGCCAGGCTGGTCTGCTCTTTCTTCCTTAAGAAGGGTTCTTAGCGGCGCAGTACTCACATCACCTGGGTGCCTCTGCGGGGAAGGGCGCTCCCGGCTACCCTGGGAAGTTCAAGGACGCCGGGGGCGAAGGCAGTGCGGAGTTTCCAAAGGACAGAAAGCGAGAAGGTCAGCTCGCAGATGGCCTCCCGCCGCCCCAGCAGACCCGTCCCGCCGACTAGAGAGCGTTACGCAGAGAATCGGAGGCCGAGAGCTGCAGGAGTCTCGGCGAGAAGGCGCAGAGGCGCAGCTGTGACTGACGCGGCGCGAGTTCGGATCCTGTTGGCCAGCCGAGCGAGCCCCGCGGCCAAGCAAGAGTCGCGCACGACTCCACTCCGGTGACGAAGTCTGGCGAGGGTCGGCGGGGAGTCGCGGTCCCTCGCGCCCCAGGAGCCCTGCGGAAAGAAAGCGTAATACGGAGGGAGCTGGGTCCAGGGAATTCAGTGAGGGAAGACTCTCAGGCCAAGTCGGCACCCGTGGGTCGGTGCCTCGGTTGGGCCTGCGGGTGGGGGAGCAGCGCCCGGCCTCGGCGCCCCGGATCCAGCCCGGCCGGCCCGTAGGAATCGGCGGCGGGACAGCCCCGCTCCCCCTCCCTCGGGAATCCGCGGGCCCTGACCCGGCCTTTATCTCTGCGCGGCCAGCAGCCGGGGGGCTTCAGGAAAGAAGACAAAGGCCCGGTGTCCCCGCGGGCGGGGGCTCGGCTTCCTGACGCCGCTCACACTCGCTAGGTTGCTGGGGGGAGATAATTTTAAAAAGTCGAATTTCCTCCCCGCTCCCTACACACACACACACACACACACACACACACACACACACACACACACACACACAATGTACATTCCCCTACCCTCCTCGTCCCTAGAGACGAACATTTCCTGGGATCGTGCCCTTCCCTTTTCTTTGTCTGCCTGGAGAAGTCATTTTCCTCCGTGCAGAGAGGAGAATCCGGGAAAGGCTTTGTTGTATTCGGTTGGATGGTACCCTTACCAAGGACAGCGAGGAGGGGCCGGGCTC